TTTTCCATCTTGTGTTCGGATATTGTTGTCTTTTGGCCAATAATTTAAATGAAGCTGCTTATGTAAAGATGGTGGCTGTTAGCTTCGATATGATCTTCTGGTAACTTTGATCGTTGTAATTGTTGTGATGAGTTGTCTGTTTGTAGTCTCGGTTTGCGTTGTACATTTCGTCATCGCGTATTAATATGGGACAGGTGGCCGATCATCTTAGGGCACCCATTGTCTGTATTGCTCGACCCTGAACTAGCAGGATCTTTATTCACACAATAGGTTCTTATGTTCTATAGTGTCAGATGTGGTCTCCTTAGGGCAACTCCAACGCATGATCCCAAATGGTCGACCAAACTACAACAGCAACTATATCCACAACAACTATCTCATGCACCACGATAAACGACATTGAAGCGACGCCTTCATTGAATCCAACCACCAAAGGCTAGCTACTAAGTTTTCACCATGAAGAATAAGTCTGAGCATCTATGAGCAATGCCTTCAACAAGGCAACAACGCAGAAACATTGCCATTGTCAAGTAAAATCAACACGGGTCAGACCTAGGCTTTCACCCAGGAGCTTGAGTTCGGGTACTAAAAAATCACCACCAAGTCAAGGTCAATCATGTGTTCGCTACCATTTTACCATGATCCCAGCAGCCACATGTGCTAGGACAGAAATCTCAAAATCACCGTTGCACAACCATACCCTCTACGCTAGGCCGCCATCCATAGATTGCATGGCACTGCCGAAGGCAAACTGGCCAGAGTGAGAGCCGCCGAACCCCACAAAGCAGCCTTCTCGCATCCCGCAACATTGCCTGTACAAGCCACATGCAATAGCCATTATATGCGAGAGGTAAAGGATAGTACTTATGATTTTTCGAGTGAAAGAGGGTTTCCCCTTCGATTTCACTAATGAAACCACAACAGGAAACAAACAAGGTGTCCAGATATCACCTAAACAGCTTCTACGACAACAACTAAGCTGGTTTTCTACAAAAGGATGCCAGGCAAACAATTTTAGAAACAAACCTGGGGGGAGGGGGAAGTAGTCCACCCAGCCACCCAGCGACATAAGCTTTCCCAAAGGACAAAAAAACATAGACGAAAACTAGAAGCTACTCTAAGAGCCACAAGTACTAAGAGACGGGAAAACAACAAGCATCTTCATCAGCCCAGGAAGAATGAACACCACCTGCAGCATCCATCAGTTTTCGAGCCGTTGCACTCCTAGTCTCGATAAATTTCACTTGCTACCCGCTCGACCAGTCTTTGTCCCTAGCATCAACAGCTTTTGGTTTGGTTGTTCTTCTTCTACAAAATAGACCAACCACAGATCCAGATGCATATTAGTCTTACAAGAATCATGGGATCATGATTTTTTTTATCTAAGAATGATATCATTTCTACATTTCCAAATGGAACAAAACATTGTAGAGATCCCAACAAACATAAGTTTTTTGTCAGGTTTCTGAAAAGTTCTTAACCAAACGTTCAAACAATCATTTAAACTATCTGGGGTAGATCTAAGATCAAAAGCACATTTGATCAAACTCCGGACCGGCATGGCTGTAGAACATTCAAAGAACAAGTGGTCAATGGTCTCCTCTTGGCCACAATACACGCACTCTTTTCCCCCTTTCCATCCTTTTTATCAGGTTATTTTTAGTCAAGATGTTGTTTTTTCCAATCAGCCACCTAAACATTTTGATTTTGCCCGGAAATTTGATTTTCCACAAGAACTTATGCGGGAACCCCACATCAGTAGTGACTAGGAACAAATATAAAGATTGAACAAAAAAGGTTCTGTTATTCGACAACATCCACTGAGGTTGATCTTTACCCCCATACATTCTAACTTCCTCACATCTGTATTTTAAACTAGACCACAAGTCAGCAGTTTCACCATATAGATTTCTCCTAAAGGAAAAAAAATTCCCAGCCCTTATCAATGGCTTCTGCCACAGAGATATCGTGATCAAAACTAATGTTATATAACCTAGGGTAGGCCCCCCTCAAAGGTTTGGAGCCCACCCACCAGTCTTCATAGAATCTGGTGTTTCTCCCATCTCCTAGTTTTTTCTTGACATGTTCGTAGTACAAGTCTTTCACTTTTAAAAGGCTAGCCCAGAACCGGGAATCTCCAGGTTTTTGTTAATTCATGATATGTATTTTCCATTAACATATTTATTTTGTAATATGTCTATCCATAGGACCTCCTTAGTCTCAAGTTTCCATAACCATTTAGCCAAGAGACTACCCAAACCACCTTGCCTTTTTGGGAGACAACAAGTCTTCCAATTAACAAGGTGATATTTCTTTTTTATCTTCATTTTCTTGCCACACTAGCTTTTTTTCTAATACCAGCAGGTAAGGGGTAGAAGGACATCATGAACAATGGAATATTAGTAATGTAAGATTGAACAAGAGTTACTCTACCAGCCATATTCAACAATCTCCCTTGCCAGCAGGCACATCTCTTCTCAATTTTTTCAGTCACACATTTCCAAAATTTGTTACTTAATCTAACATCAGAAACAAGTAAACCTAAGTATTTAAGATGCATTTTGCCCATCTCACAGGTGAAGATCTCCTGATATAAATGAGTAGAAGTTGCTTCTCCAAACAGAAAAATCTCACTTTTGTGGAAGTTAATTTTCAATCCTAACATCTGTCAAAGGCACTAAGAATAAATTTCAGATTTCTAGCACTTTCCTCATCATCTTGCAAGAGGAAAATTATGTCATCAGCATATTGCAGCATGTTTACTCCATTGTTTCCAAACTCAGCTAGAACCCCTTTACAAACTCATTCTCTCTAGCTTTTGCCCATAATGCTTGCTAAGGCATCAACCGCTAGGTCAAATAGAAGGGGAGACAGGGCATCCCCCTGTCTTAACACTTTGTGTGTTTTAAAGTATGGGCCAATGGTATCATTTACCTTAACTCACACATGCCCCACAATCATAGTGTGCATCACTAAATCACACCATTGGTCGGGATTTTTTTTAAGTTTGAGCATTTTGTAAACAAAAGGCCATTTTATCTTGTCATATGCTTTCTCAAAGTCCAATTTGAAAAGCAGGGGACTTTGTTTTTTTATGATGAATGGTTATTAGCGCCTCATGCAACACCACCACTCCCTCCATAATGTATCTATCTTTAATAAAGGCTCTTTGTGTGGGAGAAATGATGGGCCTGATCACCATGCTTAATCTATTCATCAAGACTTCGGTAATAATCTTAAAACTCAGATTGAGTAGCAGATGGGCCAATTTTTTTGGAATTGTTTAGCATCTTTAGTTTTTGGAATTAAAGTGATAATCCCATAATTCAGTCTAAAAATATCCAAGAGCCCTAAGTGGAACTCGTCAAGTAAATTCTTGAGGTCCCACTTCACCAGATCCCAAAAATGTTGGTAAAAGTCACAACCGTTGCCCCTAGGGGAGCGACGGCGGGCTGCCAACAACACTGAAGTGTGAAGGTCCCTAGGCACATACCGTGCGCACATCAGCCATGACGTGCGTTCGTAGCACCTCGTAGCACAGCACCGCCCCATGGCCATCGCAAGATCTGGAGTTGATTGAGCCGCACCCATCGACGATGACCTGCCGTCTAACCGGCAGCCGAGCGTGCCACACCCAGGGCCGCCACACCTAAAATCAGGCCACCTGCGGTTGTTTCCACCGAACACGTAGCACAATTCTTCACCCTTTGGATGCTTCTGCATGAGGTGCATCTTGATGAGCTTGCTGAGGACGACATAGTATGTAAACACTCGGACTCTGGGCATTACTCTGTGGCCTCTGCTTACAGGGCACAATTTTTGGGTTTGGTCCTCTCCCCCATGGACCAAATGGTTTGGAAGCCTTGGGCCCCACCGAAGGTCAAGTTCTTTGCTTGACTCGCACTGCAAGATAGAATTTGGACCGCCGATAGACTGGCTAAGCGGGGTTGGCCAAATTGTGGCCCTTGCCCCTTGTGCAGGGGAGTGCAAGAATGTGGAACACATCTATTCTTCAGATGCCGCTTCACGTTGAGGCTTTGGAATTTGGTTATTCAGAAATTTCTCATACACGACATGGACACGTCGGCGTGGAGCTCCTTCGACTCAGTCAAGACATGGTGGGCGAGCATGAGCGCCGTGGGCACCACCAACCGAAAAGAGAAGGCCTCGATCACCATGCTTGTGTCGTGGGTCATTTGAAATGAGAGAAACGCAAGAGTGTTCCGGCATAAGAGCAAGCCTCCGCCAACTCTACTCAACACCATCATCGACGAGGCAAACCTTTGGATCACCGCCGGGGCAAAGAAGTTAGGGTCTTTTCTATTGCGAGAATAATTGTCATGCCGTATTCTGGGGTGTGTGTTGTAACAAACTCTCCTCTCCTTATTTAATAATATATGAGGCAAATCTTTTACCTCCGTTTCAAAAAAAAAAAAAAAACACCGAGCCGGCACACAGACGCCCACACCCCCAGCCACCAAGACAACCGCCCTCCCTCCGCCCCTGTGAACCAGCAGCGCGTGCGGAGGAGCAACAGCCGACCACCCGCCGCTTGTGCCTCCCGTTCGAGGACAGATGTGTGTGTATGCTTTTTTTTTTTGAACCAGGACATCCCCCTTTACGTTACTTGTAACGGAAATACAGTTCAGATATTTATAGGAGACAGGAAAGAAGGGAAAGCGAGTTCAGCACTACCAGGAAACCCACCGGACACGGTGTGTATACATTAATATTTCCATTGGTATAAGTCTGCCTTTGTGTGTGTATATATCCCGAAGAAAACGCCCAAGGAACACAGGTAGAAGCTATACAATCCATGAAGACAACACCTTCTAACTCTGAATCCCCAGACGTGTATATATATCATCCTAACACATACTGGCAGCAACAGACACGATGACAATACATGCAGTCACACCATGCACACGAGCACAAACGAATGACCTAGCAAGCTTTTTTTAAAAAAAAAAATGACCTAGCAAAGTGCTAGTAGCTCGATCTCAACTGGAGCTGAGGAGGCTCTTGAACCACTGCACGGAGCTCTTGGGGTATCTCTTGAGCTTATCGTTGTAGTCCACGAAGTAGAGCCCGAACCTGGACGTGTACCCGGCCGCCCACTCCCAGTTGTCCAGCAGAGACCACGCGAAGTAGCCGCGCACGTCGCACCCATCCTCCCTGCATCAACCATCACACCAGAACACGTAAGACTTCCTAAAACATCACGCAAACCGTACACTTTTTTTGCTTCAAATGCAGCCATGGCAATATGAAAATTGGCACAAATCCAGAAGTTGTACTTTATGGAGTCAGCCAGATTGGTGAGGTAGTCGTTGTGGTATTTGATCCGCTTGGTGTCCTTGAGGGCGTCCTTGAGGGCAATGAAGGGGCTGTTGCTGTCATCCATCCCTGCACCAGCATCAGCATTAATGGCACACCCGTCAGACCTCTGAATCTCATGTCTATTTGGCCGCAGGAGCATTATCCAGGTCCATCGCGCCCTTACCATTTTCGGTGATGTAGATTGGTGGGCTATTGTACCTGTTCTTGACATAGTTCATCAGGCTCCTCATCCCTCTGGGCACAATGTACAGCCATATCGAGTTCGCCTACATAGTAGCATCACTCTTCAGTTCAACTTCAATCACATACAGTTTTACAGTTTACTAGAACGATAATCTTGAAGATAATGTGTGCATGCCGGACTCACCCTATCCCCAATCGCTCTGCCGTTCTTGAATGCTGCAAATCGCCAAAAACCATCAACATTCTCATTTCTAACACTGATAAGAGTAGAAACTTGAGGGGGGTTGAGAGAGGTGACTGACGCAGGCTGATGGTGCCGGTGTCTGCGAGGGTGTCGTTGAGCAGGCGGACGATGATATCGGTGTCGTTGTGCCTGGTGTAGTAGGTGGTGTAGTGGTTGATGCCCACGAAGTCGAGCGCCCCCTTGACGAGCGCGGCCTCCTCCGCCGTGAACCTGGGCAGCCTCTCCCCGACCCGCTTCCTCATGGTGGCCGGGTAGTCGCCGAAGAAGAAGGGGTCCGCGAACCACCCCAGCTGGAACTCCTGCGCCCGCTTAGTCGCCTCGACGTCGATCGCCGCGCCCGACATGGGCTCGTACCACATCACGTCGAACGCCATGCCGAGCTCCCCGTTCTGCGCCGCCTGCAGCAGTGTGACAATGGACGTGATCAGGATATGAATCCGCATCGTGTATGGGGATGGTTGCGCGCACGATCACCTTGTACTTGGTCCTGTACAATTGGGAGACGGCGGCGTGGGCGAGGATGAAGTTGTGGGCGACGATGTAGGGCTCGGTGCCGGAGTTGCCTGACTTGCAGTAGAGGTGGAGCAGCACGGAGCAGCGGCCGGGCGCCTGCAGCCCGGCGTCGTAGCCCTGGATGGCCACCGTGTGCGGCTCGTTCACCGTGATCCAGTGCTTCACCCGGTCCCCGAACGCCGCGAAGCACGTCTCGGCGTACTCCGCAAAGTCATCCCTGCGTTTTTAACCATTTGCTTTTACCATGGAGAAATCATGCCCTTACTGTAAGCCGTGAATCTACCGTTGGTTATGTTGCAAGAAGAGTTGCAGGTTAAGAGATAGGGTGGCGTGTGCTCACACAATCTGCCTGTCGAGCCACCCGTTGTACTTGTCCTCCAGGGCCTGGGGGAGGTCCCAGTGGTACAGGGTCACATATGGCTGGATTCCTGCAAGATTGTGTATGAATTTCACATGTCAGTGATGATTTAAGGATACCGATAGGTACGTGTTGCGATTGCAATCACCTTTAGCGAGCAGTGCGTTGATGAGTCTGTTGTAGTGGTCGATGCCGGCCTGGTTGACCTGACCAACGCCATCTGAAAAAGACACACACAGAGAACGTTTGCACATGTCAGGGCAGAGAGCGGTCTGAGTGAGATCACGGACAAATCTGGTGATTTGAGGTGGAGATGGGCGGCCTACTTGGGAGGATCCTCGCCCAGGCGATGGAGAAGCGGTACGCGTCCATCCCCATGTCCGCCATCAGCTGTATGTCCTCCTGACAGACAAGAAACCACCATGCATCATCCCCAAAGCATCAATCACATCGAGATGCGCAACACCTCCGATGCTAGTACAGAACAACTACTGCCAGTCTGCCACGTATGTAAGCAGATCAGTCGGTGTTGAGCGGTAGTAGATCGTAGTGCTCACCTCGAAACGGTGGTACTGATCCACCGCGACGTCCGCGTTGCTGAAGTCAGTGATCTTTCCTGCACACGCAGAGAGAGAAGGGGGGGAAAGAGGCAGAAACACCTCTGCGTTAGGGGTGTGTCTTGTGGAATCAGTCAGAGTTTTCGAGTCTCAACAGGCTCCAACTAATTGTGATGGCTGCCTAATGCGGCGACCTCAGTTAATCCTTACCCACAATTTCACCTTATCAGATAGTACATTATCAAACTGACCTAAACACAGCATGGCTAGATTAGCGCTGCGTTGTTGATGTAGTACAAATCTGGTGAGTGCACAAGGGGTAGGTGGGACATGTACATCAATCAGGGCGCGCATGCACAATGCATTTGCCGATTTTGTGGTCCTGTGATTTGCTTTGCGCCACTACATATCCACGGTTTTTAAGAAAAAGGAAGCATTGCAACAAACAAGGAACACTAAGGCCTTGTACAATACGAGGTGCTTAGGAAGATGCTTAAAAAAATAAATCAGACTTTTATTCGTGCCTATTTGTATACGATAGACGCTTAACTAAGCGTCTCTTCTATAAAAACAGTCACCGATGCTTCAGAAAAATTTAATTTATTTTTTTAAGCATCTTCCTAAGTATCTATCATTGTACAAGACCTAGCTTCGGGGGCACTTACGGTCAGAGCTAGCTTAGACTCGGTGGGGAAAGAGAGTGTGAACTGCGAAGACGACCCAATGATTGGACTTACGCGCTGAGGCGTTCCAACATTCCTTGACAGAGATGGGAGCTCCTTTTACGTGGTGGTAAAGCATTTTTGCGCCCAAGGAAAGAAGTTACACGGCGCTGAAGGTCAGGCCGGCCCAGACATGTCATGTTTGTGACTCGACTGTGAGTTGACGTCTAGCTTATCCAGTCAGTGACGTGTATCCTAGTGCGGCGGTGCACGTTGCGACGGTAAATTGCGCCTTATCAGTTCTTGGCAATACACGTGGCTGCACTCTAGGCACATAGTGCTCCCTCGCAATGTGGTGCATAGGCAGATTTTTTAGAAAGTCAAACTTACAAACTTTCGTCAAACTAGAAAAACATTTACATCTAGGGTGCAAAATATACTCTCTCCGTTTCAAAATAAGTGTCTCAACTTTATACTAACTCTAGTACAAAGTTGTACTAAGGTTAAGACTTAAAACACTTATTTTGGACGGAGCAAGTATCTCGTTAGGTCGAACATGACATGTACTTTTATATTTTATATATTCGATATTGTAGATTTAAATAGTTTTTTCTATAAACTTCATCAAAATTTGCAACGTTTGACTTTTCAAAAAATCTATATAGAGTACACTATGAAACGGAGGAAGTAATACGAGAGAATTATACATACATTACATGAAAGTAAAGTACATACCGAAGGTGTGCGCGAAGGTGTCCCAGATGGTCTGCCCTCTCCCGTCCACCTTCACCGCCCCCTCGTACTGCACAAGAGCATATTATTACAACACGAGACAATTTATTCAGTAGTAGAGTACGAAACAACAGAAGATTTATTTTGAAGAATGAAGCTAAGCTTTGGGTCCTCGTGGTGGCCAACAATTTGAATAATTTGATGTTTTTCTCTTTGTCTCGAACAATGACTTCTTCTGTAGTCAATGAATGACGCAAGTCGTTCGCCTTTCTCTCCTAAAACAAGCCATGAACTGCACGTCGAGCTCGTCTTAAAATCAAATCCATATACATTAATGTAATTGTTGCTGACTTAGTACTGTACTAAACGAGTGACAATTAATATGGATATGAGGGAGTACTCTGTATAATTGATCCCGTCATGAGGCTACTTATGGTGGGGAGTATCATATACTAATATCATCTATAGTGAGGGTATCATATCTTCATAGTGCATAGTATTATATATTAGTATCATAGACAATCTTATTTATTGCCATACATGACACATAGTAGTATAATATTCATTATGATACGGCATTTACCTATGTTACTATAACCTTCTGTCTCTTTTTTAATTGTTTGCCACATCAACATATTTGCTAGTCTCAAGTGCATGATACTGGCTATATACTACCAGTATGGCCAGCATGACAGCGTTGTGCGTCCACACAACACAGGTCAAATGTACGCTTTGGGAGGAAGGACGGTTACACTGTCAGTGGGGGCACGGGAGCCGCGCGCAGCATGTGCAGTGGTGCTCGCGCGCGAATGGGCACCGTCCTCTCCACCGGACGCGCGCCGCCCGTGAACCTTGAAAATTCCGGTCGTTTTCGGCAGGTTTCGCCCCCACGGTCAAGCAGCTAGGTACTCCCTCCGTCTGCGAATAAGTATACTTCTAGCTTTTGTCTTAAGTCAAAGTTTTAAAACTTTGACCAACTTTATGAAAAAAAATAGTAGCATTTATGACACTAAATTAGTATCACTAGATTTGCTTTGAAATGTATTTTCATAATATATCAATTTGATATCATATATGTTACTACTTTTTTGTATATAGTTGGTCAACGTTTTAAAACTTTGACTTAAGACAAAAGCTAGAAGTACACTTATTCGCGGACGGAGGGAGTAGGCAGCTAGCGCGGCGCCGACGGACGGGGGCACGGGAGAATATATGCATCCGCCCCGAGGGATCATGACAGGTCGGGTACGTAGAGCATGCATGCGTATCTACCCCTGCTCATTGATTGAGACGACCGGTCTCTTCTGCATAGTCTTGGCATGAATGGCAATGAGTTGGGCAGTAATTAATTGGCTACACAAAATTTGGCAGGGGCCACTAGATCTAGCAGTACACTTAATCGCGCATGAAATATTTCCTTTCTTGGGGGAATACAATTAATGCTGTTAATGGAGTTTAATATTGCCCTAATATTATTTGAAGAAAGAGATAGAGACAGAGAGACCTAAAGAGAGCGGATCATGTTTGTCAGAGTGAAAAACATCTAGCTAGACAATGTCTTTTTCACCTCGGATGAAAATCTAGTGTCTTCTTTTTTTAACTCGTTGTGTAACTTTGCCGTGTACGAGCATCCACTGTGAAATTTATGCTTGAGGTGGATGGCCTATGCACGACCGATGGATACACAAACAGAGATGGTAGGCAGACGAGGAGGAGGGTCCAAAAGGCCACCGTCAGAAAGCAAACCCAAGGCCACAAGACAAGAATACAACTTTTGTTCCTTCCAACCCTTTTTCTGTCCACCACTTGGCCTCTAGGCTACCATGTCCCACCCATCCAATGGTGATGCTTACAGCAAGGCCAATGATGCTTAGGGGCATGGTCCTCTTCGTCCTAGCTATGACGGGGTATATACTCTTCGAGCTCACCGCACAGTAATAATTGTTTTGCAAGGAATCCAAACCAAAGATTCGTCAGTTTGTTCCTAGCAAATCATGGCCGAGGAACTCGATTAATGCCATGTGCTTTTTTTTTGCGGGTAAATGCCATGTGCTTAACGGAGATGCATGGCTTAAAAATTATAGACGCACGTATATGATCGATCGTTCGTTTCCAAGACTCAACATGGCACTAGAACTGACGCGCGCAGTGTGGCATGCATGCAGAAAGAGCTAAAGAATCAATGGCGCCGGCGGACCAGGGGAACAAATCGAGGAAGCAGGAGCCAACGAACCTGGTACGCGGCGGAGGCTGTGCCGAAGACGAACCCCTTGGGGAAGCTGCCCCTCGTGAGCCCTCCCCCGCCGCTCCCCGCAGCCGCAACGCATCCCCGCGGCGGCGCGGCGACTAGGAGGAGAAGCAGGGCCAGCGACGCCGCCGCGCCGCATTGGCCCGGCCGCTTTATCCCCATCCCGCGAGCGAGAAAGAGAAAGAGAAAGCGGGAGGGGAGGGGAGGGGAGGAGAGGCGTACTACGTCGTGGTGCGTGGGCTCCGGAGAGCACGCACGGACGGACGGGGAAAGAAAGAAATGCCTAGTGCGTGACTGTGTCTGTGCGCGCGCCGATGTGTTCGCCGGCGTGTGGGTGGGGCGGTATTTATAATGGTGGCGATGGTAACTGAGGCATGCACGCCTCCACCGATGAGTCGATCCAGAATGGACTCACCGGCGAGTTGGGGCTCTCGATCGGTCTGGCGTCAGCGGTCAGCCATCGGTGTACTGGACTGGGCGATTGCTTTAAGGCAATGAAGTGTGGAGGCTGAAGCGATGGTGGTTACTGGTTAGGGACGGGGTGCCGCGGCCGGGAACAGGGGTGTGAAGAGGAAGCCAAGAGAGGAGGAACTTCCTTCTTCCCTTTTCACCCCGATGATTGACCAAACCTTGTTATTGAGCAATCATAGCGGCCGCGGTACATATCGGGGCATTCGCCATGGTGGCTTGCTGATGTTCTGTTTACCGAGAGGAGACAGGCACGCAACAGCTATATGAAGATTGTCCCTCTGAATAACTGGAAATGTTGTCAAAGTAACTAATGAAAATATTTCCACCAAGATCTATATATTTCTAAAGAAAATGCATGCTAAGAATAAAAATGTCAAATGAGTTTTTTGTATGATGTAATCATTTAGAGATAGCATTCTCAGCAATTTAGAAGGTGTGTGAACCTTAATAAACGTATGGTTGTGTGCATCGTAATGATGCAGAGACCGAGCGTGATCTAGGAATAGTGCGGGATAGTTGTCGAGTTGCAAGGACGCTTCTTTTCTTCTTGAACGTCGATTTCAATAACGAAGGCCCTTGCCCCCTAGAACTGCTAGGAGGCTCCTCCCACCGAACATCTTTCGTGCGCAGTGCGAGACCACAATAGTTCATGCCTTCTTGTTTGTTTGTTTTAAAAAGAGAGGGATATGTTAATATCGCAAAGATACCAATTACACACAGCCTCTGCACCAACAAGATATCACAAAGACATTCAGGATGCACATAGGCTGAAGAGAAAACAAAAAAAAGAAAGGTAAAAAAGAATAAAGGCCTTGCCATAGTGATCAACTCTCTCTCAGCAGCAGCACACAAACCATCACAAAAATAACATCCTGAAAACATAAAAGGTCACCAAAAGCAACACCTTTAAGAAGGAAACAGTGCTCAAGCGCCGTCGTCGCCCGATCCAAGATCACGGGTTTTCAGCCTGGAGAACGACGAGCTCTCAAAACAATACCTTCAACAAGGCAATTGTCAGGCACAACCAATGAAGGTCAGACCTTGGGTTTTCATTTTTGGTTCGCGCCTTCTTGTGGCTGGCAGTAGAACCATCCTTTCCACTGCCCCGACTAGGAGCCCTTTGATGCTAAGTTGATATACACCACCGCATTGCCTTCATGTAGATGGAAGTTGTACCATGATGACTTTGTTGCTTTTACACTCCTCACTCCATGAAATCACCTGACGGATTAAAGCTTGGGTGGGGTGACAAGGTGTGACTCGTATAGACGTGCAAAGACACATAACAGCGTCATCGGATCGAGGTACCTTTTGGTCTATGCCAATAAATAAATAAATTATCACAATGGAAGGGTAAAGACAAGAGTACCATAATCTTATTTGTTCCATACACTTGTTCCATGTTTATCGTGCATCACGAGCTTAGTATGCTTCCTTCTTCCCATGTGCTTTAGGATTGTCAAAAAATATCAAGATTCTAGGAGAAGCTGGATGAAGGTTCGATTCTCAAGATTCTGAAAGAATCGGTCAAAAGAACTGGGCCTTTGTTTTCTTTTATCAACTTAACTTCATGCTTTGAATTTCTATTATGAACTTGCATTTTTTGTGTTTTGGCTTTCCAACTTGGGGTCCCGATCCTCTGCAGTAATAGCACCACAGCTACGAACGATGTCGTGTGGCCCCGACCTAACTTGTCATTAGCAGTACTGCACATGCAGTTGCTGTAGAGAATCTCAATCCTCCAACTTGCATACAACATAGAATCTAGATCCCATGACAAAAACTTAATTTTCGAAATGTTGCATAACATAATGTGATTTCTCAAAATAATAATTATTAAAGAGACATAAATGAGCAAAATGAATGATAGACCATGCATATTTAGTCCATTTTAATTGTCGTTCGGTCTCTCCTTTCCATCACATTCTCCTCATTTGAATTTGGGTGTTCCAACTTTTAGTCCAGATCCTTTGCAGTAATTGTACCACAACTACGATTGTTGTCGTGTGTCCTTGACCCCTCACGTGTCATCGGCAGTGCTGGATGTGTAATTGATGTAGAGGATCTCAATCCTCCAACTTGCATAGAATAGAATATCTAGAGCCATGACAAAAACTCAATTTTCAAAACATTGCATAACAGAATAGGATTTCTCAAAATAATAAATATTAAAGGGACATAAATTATGCAAAATGAATGATGGATCATGCATATTAAGTTTATATTAATTTGTTGTTGGGTCTCCTGATTTCATAATATTTCCTCCATTCCAACGAACAAGACTCGCGTGTTTTCCAAGATTTAAATAGTACCACCTCTTTACCATAATATAAGATGTTTTTGCAGTTTAAATTAGACTAAAAAAACGTAGGGTGCGGATGGAGTACTGGCATTTCGGGCGAACACAGCGAAACATTCTGATCATTTTGGTGCGTGGACATGGCCACGTGCACGCATGTTGAGATACTCCTAGGTGGGATTTTCGATCGCGCATCACAGGCATGCATGTTCGCCGATACACATATGGAAGGCACGGCCGGATCAAGGCAGAGGTTGCAGTGTGTGTCTCTCTCTTGATCCATCTTATCATTCCGGCCGGCCTTCATCATCATCATTAGATAACGTACGTACTGCACATGTAGGACGACCACGTCGCCTGGCCCCATCCATGATGCCGTTCTAACTGCGTCGCTTGATATACAGATTACAAATCAAGCGTGTTCTTCTTCTTGGCCTTTTGTAATGGCACGACGTTTTTGCTCTAAACAAATGTACTCTGATTGATTTCCGGAAGCGTCCCGTGCACGGATCGTCACAGGATGAAATCAAAGGCAGCGCTCTGATTTCCTACTGGCGGCTTCTGTTCTTGTATCCGTGACAGACACTGGCAGATGACAAGAGGCCGAAACATACATGCGTATCCAACGAGTGGGAACGGCACGCTTGGCCCTAAATATCTCTCCTGAATCAATTCGAGGGAAAACTCGCTTTCGATTACGTTCATGCATATGCATGTCGTCGCGGCGGATGGCGACGAGTGAGCCTGCCCTGATTGCCTTAGCCGCGGGTGGCCAGGGCCTGGCACTAGCGACGACGGCGCTCACGGCTCCGGAGAAGAACGTATCGCGGTCGCCATTTGCGCTCTACGTGCTCTGCACCTGTGCCTCACAACACTGTTGCTGTCCTGCATTAGGCCACGTGACGATGGATGAAACAAAATGTGCTGTGATTCCTGTGTGTGTGAAGCCTCCGACGAAAGCGTCTGGATCGGCTGCAAGAAACAGGAAGACGGCGGTCATGCGGTTCAGACCTGAGCGGGATCTTGTCAAGTTGTACGTAGTTCAGTTATGCATGCATGCACGCACGGGAACGCGCGGCATGTGCGGGCAGGTGGCTAGCGAGATGCAGCTAGCACATTCATTGTTCTTGATCGGGCATTAACAATTCCGGTCCGGCCATCCGTCGACGGAGCTGGTGACCAGTGTCCGGCGGGTGTCCTCTTCTTCTTGGATTCCGACGTCTCTGTCCACACACAACGCCGACGGCCCTTCTCCGGCCCGTTTCCTTCCTCGTCAGCAGCAGGACGACAAGATTCAGTTGCATACTTGCATTGCATGTAGTATGAAACTGCGGACGGCATCGCAGTTGGACTGCACATGCATGGCCGGTCCGTCTCTTTGACTCATTACGCGCGGCAGTACGGGTGGATGGGGTTGAGATTCGCTGACTTTACCCGTGCTGACTTAGGGCAACTGATATGTGGGGCCTCAAACATGCTGACCCGTCTGTCAAAGGCTCAAAGTCAGGTGACATTACGTCAGCCAATCTGGGCAGTTCTTCCATTTGTTCTGCTTTGAAACTTGAAAGCCCTGCTTCTGTCCACAAACCGACATGAAGACTGAATGTCAGTCACTCCGTCGCAGCGGAAAAATGATGGCTTTGAGCGTTCAGTCAGTGTTGTCCATTTTTTTCCTTTTTCGAAATGCGGCAATTTCTATTATGCCATTCTCATTAAGAAGTGAGAAATGCGTGGTTAATTACCAAACGGACAATCACCTCGTCGTCGTGGCCACCACCGACTGACCTGACACACAATAAAAACTTCACCCGCACCGTCAAGGAGGGGAACACGGGCTGACGTTGCATACAAGCATCATCGTCATCTCTATGTTTGTCTCATCTCTATTTCTAGATAATCAAATCGATGTAGGGGTATCGATAGTTCTCCAAGCTCTGGTTCTGGTATCTGAATTACGTCAATTGATTGACATGGTAACTCATGTCAATCTTCTTCTTTTTTAGAAAAAACTAGAACAATGCCCGTGCGTTACAACAGTATATAAAATTCTAGTAAGTTAGCTTGTGATTTGCCTGCCTATAATAATGCGATTGTAAAAACAAATGCTCATCAAATTTTACCCATGATTTACCTTATATTTTGATCAGAAGTTTGGTAACCAAATTAAATTGGAATTGGTTGAAAAGGTAAATAAGTTAAGGTGATTGATTATCAAGGAGGAAGGTTGAATGAAAGGGTGGTGGAAAAGACGTTCGCTAGTCCATCAGGGGAAGATCCAAGATGCATACCAAATTTTAATGGAAGCACGTGCTATAACGACAAACTATGTTATTGCCCAATCCTCCGGGGCAACGAAGAGAACAGAGGGATGGACGAGACCCCCTCTAGGTTT